TTGTTTTCTCATCAAAAGTAATATTGGAAAGTATGACAAACTGAAACTAAATAAATAGGGTTTTCTAAATGTGTGCTGGTCATAGATCCATTTATGAAAGTTATGGACTTATGGGGACCAGAGTCCAAGGAGCTGCGGGCGAAGGCGTTCGCTTGTGAGTGGTGTAGGTTCTTTGGCGGGGATCAAGGTAGCCAGAAAATTTGATCTCCGAAAACCCCTTCTATGCGCATTCGAGAATAAATTCTACATCACCTATTTTAATTTGCATCTTGATAATCATATTGGCCACACAAAGTGTTGGGAACCTGTGGACACAGGTTGCGATCTGCGCCCATGCTTGGTCAGCTATAAGAGCTGAATATCTTGATGATAATTTCAAACCAAACTCCAGATACTGAGCTTGATGCCTCGTTGATTACATTAGATAAAGCTTGTAGTATTTCACATGTAAAATTTACCTGGTCCATTCTCTCAAATAGATTATATAAGATAATAAACCTCACATGTAATACATTGTTTTTATATAATAGGTATAGAAGCTAACTTTAAACACTCTGCATGCATTGCCTGCTATTCTAGCATATTGTTTAGCATTTTGATTATATTTTATTGTATATTGTATGATAAATACTAATAGTATGTGTTAATATTGAGATTAGGAAATATGCACGTTACCATAGAAATCTATTTGTAGAAGTAAACTGGTTGTCCCTTGCCTTGTTAATAAATATTCTAATCTATATCTATATTATTATGTATTATGTTTATAGAGTAAAGTCTCGAATAGACCAGGTACAGTGTACGGTTCGGGATTATTGCTACAATAGTGATCTGTTTTACTGTATCGATTATCCAGCACTGTATACCGAACCTGGTCTATGCGATCTTAGAAGCCCTTCTCTTGTTGATGTTATAATCTGTAATTTTATTTTGTATTATGTAGACATGAAGACCAGGGCCAGTTGGAAGCCATCATTGTACTGGAAGAATTCTGTAAGGAACTGTCAGCTATAACATTCGTAAAATATCATGCTGAAGTTACAAGATAATAACTAGTGACTGAGTTATTGCCCTTGTTCGTAAAATACCATGCTGAAGTTACAAGATAATAACTACTTACTGAGTTATTGCCCTTGTTCGCAATAAAATCTTCATATCTAGTCAGTCACTTATTGCCCTTGTAATATAGTTGAAATATATCATGCTTGGTGACAAGGTCACAACTCTACAAGATATCACTGAGTTATTGCCCTTGCTATAAGATATACCATCCATCCACCATATTAGTGGCACTGCAATGTTATTGCATTTAAGTTAGTAATACCTTACTGTTGGATAAGAATATTGTCCGACCTAAATACTGCCAAATAGAGCAATATTCATTCACGTTTCGCGGTTGCAGATGGGAACTTACCTGTTGACTTTGCAGGTAGCAAATTTTAAGCTATGCATGCTTACAGTGATGATGGGTAGACTTCTGTCAATCGTGCAAAAAATCCTACTTAAGCATTGTACAGATGTATTGGTGTATTATTGTATATTGATGACAGATACGTCGTATACTTTTGTATCCTCCTAAAACCAGATAGGAATGATCCCAACGTGAGATTCAATAGTCTTGTTAAAGACTGGTCATAAAGACATCCACAGACTACATAACCTAGTCTACTGTCACTGGTTAATCTTACTTTTAAGAATATTGTTAGTTTAGATGTGTTCATCAATATTGTTATTGGTTAGATCACGACCAAGTTTATTTCATTTATTGATCTTTGTGTCAATAGTCCCTTAGATGTTGTTTATTATTCTAAAACTGTAAATAGTTGGGTGGGGGCCCCTTCCCTCTAACCTATGGGTTCTGATGAGTTTGGGGGTTCTCCACCACTTACCCTCTTTATCTTGGGGTCTGTTTAATACTTGACTGTTATATTATAGAGGGTATGTTGTTGATTTTATTGTGTTAGTATTTTAACTATCAGTTATATGGAGATGGTATTATTTTTTACCAAAACAGTATTCATTTATTTTTAGTTCCTGAAAGGTATTTATGCCCATCTAGGGACAATTCATAAACACAGTCTGTCACTTTCTTTTTGGTATTAGGGGTGAGAGCCGAGACTGGACCGGCTCTCGGAAGAACCGGCACACCTTGAGGAGGATTCGAACCCACAGCACCTAACCTCCTAGTAGAAGACAATCCAACTTGCTATCGACTGAGCGATTCCACTGCCACTATTTGTTTATTCAATGATGATCTTTGATTGTGTTTGAAGTTTAATTTATACCAACAGACTTAATACTATAAACACTAACAATATGTTTAGAATTGTCCCCAGATGAGTTATTATTTATTATAATGACACTGCTGAATATATAATTATATTTTCTGGTGGTGGCGCCATCCTCCCGATACTGGGGGTACAAACAGGGGGTAGACTGACTCAGTGGCTGAATTCAAAATGCGACAACTCTGTGGAGGCATCAGTCACCAACCTGTCATGGAGCGTCTGAAAGGACTTTCAAAAAACTTGAATGGGTTTGGTGCATTCGGACACATACTTTGGGTCTAAAACGTAGACCCCCCATACATCCCCCCCCCCCCCTCCCCGGGCCTTTTTTGTTCCCCTACGCGTCGCCACTGATATTTTTGTATTACAAATGAAATAGGTTATAACTTGTCAAATACTCTGTCTGGACTATTATTATATAAATTATTTTGATGTGATGAAGGATAAACTGCGTTCCGCATATATCGGTTATTCTTTCGACAAGTCTTTAATTATTGTTCAATGATATTAAGATGAATGCTACCTTTGTTTGTGCAGGTATTTCACTTGCCATCCATGATCTAACAGGTTTCTTTTATCAATTTTTTAAAATTATACAATAGCTGTCATTGGTTAAAAAAGAATGTATTAAAGGGATAGGATCGCCATTCATTTGACCAAGCGTACCTTACTCTCAATAACAAAATTTATTTTTAGCTAAGCCAATCAGTAATAGTGTTCACCGTCATAATTTGAGCTTTCGAATCCATGTGTGTCCAGAAATATCTGCGTTTGAAAGTTAAAAAGACGATTCGTCTTTTCTTGAGACTTTTGTCATAAAAAGCAAACACATCTATAGAAAAAGAAAATGAAATTCCTAGTCTGAGGTATTTTTGAAGGAATTGTGCGAATTTCGTTAATTTCTGGTACTTCTGAAGACTATTCAACCCCCAACATATCGAACATGTCCCTTTAAATATCTTCTCACTAATGAATAGAGCAATTGATTGGTTGAATTTTAAATGATCTAGAACATAGATAGAACAACTTTGTCAGATCAAAGTTGGCGAATGGAGTCACTCTAACGAAAGGAGAGGAAACATCCAGATGTATATTGTAATCAGACAGGTTATTATTGTTGATAGATTGATGTTGATGATGTTTTAGTTACTGTATTGTTAATGGTTTTAAGACAATCTATGTATGTATACTAGTTATGTCTCTTTGTAAAATAGCAATTTTTGTCTGATGCTTAGGTCACACATTCATGAATCACCTCGCCACTTCCGCTATGGATTAACGGTGTGACTATGGATTTTATCGAATCTGTTCAAGGATAATGTAGAAAGGAGCCATTTGGTGACATGAATGATACAGATTGTTATGGTATGACATGTTTTAATACAAAAAGCCAATGACCAATACAGATCGCCACGAATGATGCCAGATCGTGTCCGTAGCTAACCCGGCGTCCAATCCGTGTGACCTAGGCATTAACGACTGTAGATAGTTTAGACGTTATAGTAGTTTTATAATTTTAGGATTAAGGTGTTTTTTTGTTCAGAATTGTTTTAAGGGAGAACAACTGGAATCTAGAAATCTGTGAAATTTGTTAGTCCAATGTTTTTATGCAGTTTATTATAACATTGACTATTGTTTACTTTCTCTATGACATCTTGTTATTTGATCCCCAGCTCAGATCTATAATCTGGTGGTGAGGATAAAAATGAAGACAGGTTTAATCTTCTTCACAATGTCAGGCTGATACCAAGTTCATAAATAAACCAAATACTAACAATCAGAACGACAACCAAAAAACGAAACCCGAAGCCCAAACAACATTTTGGCAAAACATTAGTAGCAGCTAATGAACTTTTTCTATGAGAGCGTATTCATTTTATACCTCGACTGCAATAAACATCTTTCTTGTATCATGGCAATTTGTAAATGTAGCGATTTGATTGGATTGTACGCTAGCGAAAACAGCCAACCAGAACGCTTGACAGAAAGGTTGTGTCAGGTGTTATAGAAGATATTCTCCTATAGAAGAACTGGCGAAGACTAAACAAATAAGCCATTATGTTCACATTATTTCTGTCGAGGGCCTGATTGGCTGTTTTCGCCAGCATACAATCCATTCAAATTGCTGCATTCCGTGATTCAAGAAAGGTAGCTATTGTAGTCAAGGTATAAGTACGAAGTTCGTAACAGCTTGACATTGTGAAGATGTAGTTTATATCATATTATCAATGGTCCGATTACATCATTTCTCATATTTTATTTTTAAATGACTTTGTAAATCTGTCTGAGTCTATAAAAAGGATTTCCCCCCCTTTGGGGATTAGTCTAATTTGATTTATTCTCTGTTCAATTGATGGTTTTTATTTGAAATGTCAAATTATTAAGAATTAAGATTAGGCTGGTCGAAACGTTGTATGTCATCTTGACTTTTTCCTATCAACTTTTCAGTAAGGGACACTACCTCTTAAAATGAATATAAACTTTTAAAGGTGTCCTCACACCATAGTTATTACCAGTTGCGTATGGTTGTCAATGAAACTGGCCATGATTCCCGAGCCTAGCTCACAACTTTACCTTGAAACTCATGACAGCTATTTCTTTTTCGCAACCATATTTTACTGGTGATCGCTATGGCGTGAGGGCCACTTTAGTCTCAAACTTGGTCAATAAGAGTAAATAATCATTAGTGAACATACCTGGTGTCATAACTATACACCAGAGTAAGTCCACTGATAAATATATACATGTACTCTTAATGGCCAAGTTTAAATTTTTTAATTTTTTGGTCATCCAAAGAGGTAGTATCCATTTAAAGATACCTTTATAATTTTTCTGTAGACGAGATTTCTCAGCCAGTAAAAGCAGAAATAAGACAGGGAAGAATTAAAGACTAATATTCCAGACAATTTAAAGACCAATTGAGAGGCAGCAGGAAAATTTCAAAATAAATTGAAATTTTGTTTCTGAGTTTAGGTGCCTAGAATCTTGCATTTAATTGGTAAATGTAATTTATGGGCCCCATTTATCAAAATCTTATGATCAATTCTTGTCATATTTTATGGAATTTTAATCTGAGAAATCGCACCCTTGTGACAAAAATTGACTAATTTAACGCATTTATCGGTTAATGTGATTTTAGGGAAAAGGGGTATATTGACATAGGCCTGATCCTCTACTTTACCAGCTGATACATCATTCTAGTCAAGCTCGTTTGTATAGTACTTTACCAGCTGATAGAGCCCAATCTGAACTATCTGTATAGTTATCTAAATATTTACTCTACCAGCTGATAGAGTTCAATCTGAACTATCTGTATAGTCGTGAGATGATAGACCAAGTCATATTGTATTGTGTTTTATTTGTAAATATATTTGAATGTAATTATTTTATTTCCTCGTGCCAAATTAAAATTATGCCATGTCTAATATCGTGTCTCTTATTTCCCTAGTAGTGGGTGGCCCAGAAAAAACATAACACTTTTCATTTCAGGATTATTCATAAAGTATCAAAACTACAGTCATATAATTTTAACCTCATAATTATAGTTATATAAAACATAGAGATATTCACAACAAAAATAAGTTAATAGTTTGAAACACTTTAAACCCCGGCATCATCTGTAAAATATCTTATCAAAAATGTCAATGCAGAAAGTATTTTTGTAATTCTACTTTAATTTAATTTCATCTTCAAACAAATGGGCTATTTAACCACTTTTTTTAGTATAAACTGCTCAGTCCTTGCCAGAATAAATCTACAGG